TAAATTAATTAATGTTGTTAATCTTCATTTAATTAATTAATTAATTAATAAAATGATTGTTATAAACAAAAAAAATATTAAAGTATAACAACAACAAACCAACTGACAAAATTCTTTTAAAAAAAATTAATGCATTCAAAAGTTTTCAATCGTTATTTACACACACACATAGAAAACGGTTATCAGCGGCTGAGGAAATGTTAACATTTGACTCCCGACCCCTGGGCCCCTTTTTCCCGTTGTGGCCTTCGCCCCAGAGACACAGACCTGAACACACTACAATCTGTTGTGGGACCAGAGTTCAATTTGATTAGGATCGAATTTTATTATTATTATTATTATTATTATTGTATCGAATCCATACAAAATAATTTTTTTTGTTAATTTCTTAAAAAACTTTTTGTTTTTTTTTTTTGTATTTAAGACGACGACGACCACAACGACAGTAAAAATTACTCCAAAAAAAAATAAAAAAATAAAAAACTTTAATTAAAATTTAAATTATTAATAAATTAATAAATAAAAATGTCCTCGTTAATAATTTAATCGCGATTTTTACAACATTAACAATTTTTTTTTTACAATAAAAAAAAATCGCTGAGTATTATTATTATTATTATTATTATTATTATTACAACAAATGATTAATTTTTTCATTTAATAATCGCAATAATTAATTAATTAATTAATTTTTTTTTTCCACTATCGCGTTCGCGTTTATCAATTTAACCATTAAATAAATAATTTATTATTATTATTATTATTATGTTGTTGTTATGTTTTTGTCGCGTTACATAAGTTTGTGTGTTCGTTTTTATTAAAAAAAATTTTTTTTTTTTTTTTTTCATTTAATTTTATCAGTTCGATTATTTAAACAAATTAATTATTTATTTATTTATATAATTTTCGTATTGCTGATAATTTTTTCTTATTTATTAATAAATTAATTAATAACAAAATAGAAAAAAAATCGTTAAAAATTTATTTATTTATTTATTTCCCCCCCTCTTCCGTCGGGTTTTTAATAAAAAATATTATCATCATCATTCTTACACATTTAAATACTCGAATGTCGTTAATAATAATAATAATAATTTGTTTTGTATTCGTTTGATACGATGTGTTTATCCCTAGTCCCTCCCCCTAAAAAAATAAATAAAAAAAATTCTCGTGTCGCCTTATGGGGATGCAACAACAACAACAACAACAATAACAAACGGGATAGAAATTTATAAAAAAAAAAAAATTATATATATAAATATGGTTGCGGCCAGGTTGAGATAAACAAGATGAATTCTTTTAACCGGTCCATACTTGCATCTCTTGCGTCATCCTTCCACGTATAATCTTACCATTTTTTTTTTTTTTTTTTTTTAATTTTATTAAATGTTATTCACCTTATTTTTTTTTTTTTAAATTTTATTTCAACGCTCTCATTATTATTATTATTATTTAATATTAATTTCAATCGTCATCTTTCGCTTTTTCCCTTCTCTCCCCTTCCCCTCCCCCCCGGCAGTATGCATTCCGGTATAAAAGTAAAAATTAAAAATTAATAAAATTTATTCTTATATTGTGATCGGAAACTACAACAACGGGGGATGTAAATAAAAATTTTCCTGGAAAATCGGCGGGGAGGGGATTGAGGGGGGAAGGGAAATCGCCGCGTAATTTTATCGATTACTAATCGATCAATTGTTACGAAATAATCGCGCGCGCGTTAAAAATTTAATTTTTTTTCTTTTTTTAAAAAAAATTATTCACATATATATATATATATATATATATATATATATATATATATATATATATATATGAAGAAAATAATAATAATGATGATGATAATAATAATAATAAAAAGAGTCGCCGTTGAATAAAAAAAAAAAAAAACAGGTTTGCGTCAGGTTTTTTTTGGTATTTGAACGTTTAAGTCGTAGCGTGTGCGTAGGTATTTTTTCTTTTTTTTTTTCATGCATGTTGTTCGACCGGTCCTTAATTAATTATTCACTCATTTCAAGAAGAAGATGAAGATGAAGATGGTGGCTTGGCTTTGACAAAAATTTTTTTGTTTAAAAAAAAAAGTTTTTAAAAAAAATTTAAACAATTTGACGAAATTTTCCCCCTTTTTTCCTTTTAAATAAAAACTCGTGCGAAAATAATAATAATAAGAAAGAAAAAAACAAAAAAAAAAAAAAACGTTGTATTATTATCGTTATTAATATCATCGTGGTCGTTGTTTTTGTTGTTGTTGTTGTCGCCCTCGTAGTCGTCCTCGTCTTTGTCGTCGGGGTTTTAAAAAATTTTATTTAAATAGTGTCACCAGACAAGTATCATCGGTTTTCATCGTATTAAATTTTTTTTACATGGAGGAAAAACGAAA